ATCAATTGAATAGTAAAGAATAAAACATTTATTTGCCCATGTAGTTACTATTTATGGTGTTTTTCATTCCTTGATGTAGAGTTGGATTTCCAGCTGCTGTAATTTTCCCCCTGCCTCTTTGAGTTGCCTTTAACCTTTCTTGTAGTGTGGGTTTGCTGGTGATGAATTCTTTAGGCTTCCCAATCTGAGAAAGTTTTTATTTTACCTTAGTGTTTCAAAAATATTTTTTGCCAGGCACAGAATTTCTATATTGACAGTTTTCTTACACTGAGTACTTTAATAATGTTTTCCCACTATATTCTTACTTACATTGTTTCAGATGAGAAATCTAATGTCACCCCCTATCTTTGTTTCTCTGGCCACAGCATTTCTTTTTGCTGAGGCCATGTTACTGGAACAAAGGGGTACATTTGCCTATGTGCATCAAAGCCCAGTAAGACACCAACAGGAGTTTGCAACCAAGAAAGTTAAGGATTATTAAGAGGGTGGCACCATGCCCAAAGTCACAGGTAGCTCATGCTCAAAGACCTGGCTGCCCCATGACTTCCAGGAGATGGGTCATATTGGGAAAAAATCATTAGTCATGCTGACTAATGGAGTTAGGGTCCTGGTCTCTACTGATTGGTTGATGCTAGGGTTGGGGACGGTTGATTATTGCATCTGGTCCTGATGTCAGCCATGGGGTTGTTCTGGAACTGAAACACATCTGAGGCCTAGATGTTATCTCTAGTTTGACTGAAAGTGTTTCTGTGGTCAACAGACCCCAGGTTTTGTTTCTAAGAATACTGGATACTGACCAGAACCTCATTGTCCTGAGGGCTTCATAATTAAGCAAAGGAGAGGGAGATGGGTGAGTCAGGATGCTGAGTGAGGCCAGTTTAAGTAAAAGGGGGGAAAAATCTAAACAAAAGGCCAGATTAAAGAAAATAAAGTTTCTGCATGGTTAGAGTTGCTTCTATGGTTTTCTCTTTATTGCTTTTTTTTTTCTTCCCAATTTGATTATGATGTGTCTTGGTATAGTTTTCTTCATGTTTTTGTGTTTGGAGTTTGTTGAGCTTCTTTGGCTTTGTAGCTTAATACTTTTCATCAAGTCTTGAAAGTTTTGGGTGATTATTTCTTCCAATATTCTTTTCATCCCCCTGCTTCTTTTCTTCAGGGACTCAAGTTATCCATCAGAGGTCACTTGAATTCATTCTAGAGCTTACTGATGTGATGCTCTTTTCACATTTGTTTTCTTTTTCTGTTTCATTCCTACTGCTTTCTATTCATTAATCTTTCTTCTGCAATGTCTTATCTGCCATCAGTCCCATCCAGTGTATTATTTCACCCATTGTACAATAGTTTTTTTTTAAGATTTTATTTTTTAGAGGGAGGGGAAGAGAGAGAGAGAGAAACATCAATCAGTTGCCTCTCACACGCCCCCAGATGGGGACCTGGTCTGCAGCCCAGGCATGTGCCCTGACTGGGAATCAAGCCAGAGACCTTTTGGTTTGCAGGCCAGCACTCAATCCACTGAGCCACACCAGCCAGGGCAATACTTTTTATCTTTAAAAGTTTGATTTTTTTTCCATTTTCTGTCAATCTACTTAACTTTTTGCATATAAAGAATACAGTTACGACAGTGGTATTAATGTCTTTACTCCATGCCTATTCTAGGCCATTATTTTCCTGGTCATCTTCAACTAATTGGTTATTCTCCTCATTACGCTTTGTGTTTTTCTGCTCCCTTTCATGGTTAGTAATTTTTGATTAGATGCCAAATATTGTGAAATTTACCTTGTTGGTTTACCTTGTATGGATATTTTTGCATTCCTATAAACCTTCTTGAACTTTTTTCTGGAATATAAATTACTTGGAACCATGAAGATCCTGAGGCAGGTTCAGAGCAGAAACAGTCTAGGGCTAATTATTCCCCACTACTGAGGCAAGACCTTCCTAAGTATTCTACCTAATGCCCCATGAATTTTTATTTTTTTTCATTCTAGCTAGAAGAAATAGACACGGTTCCTCCTGATTCTTTTAGATGCTTCTTCCTCATCCTCAGACGGTGTTCTCCTACACTTGTGATAACAGGTACTCTGCTAATACTTGGGGAACCCTTTGCAGGTCTCCAAGTTTCTGTCTTGAGTCAGCTCTCTCCTTTCTGGTACTTTTCCCCTATGGACTCAAGTTTCCTCATTTCCTCATCTTTCTCTCAATTTGGGTAGTTTTCAGGCTTTTCCTAAATTCACTCTTCCTTCACTTTTGCCTGAATTCTCTCTCAAGATAGCAAGCAGAGTGCATTGTAGGGCTCAGCTGATTTGTCTCCTGCCTCTCAAGGATCAGTGTGTTTTGTTGTTTGATGTTCTGTGTCTTGGAAATAATTTCTCTAGCATTTTGTCAGTTTTTTCCCCATTGCTTCAGGTGGGAGGGTAAATCAGGTCCCTATTACTCATTTTTTTAAAAGATTCTCTCCTTGTTGCAAGCCCATGCTCCCCTGAGCTATACCAGCCAGGGCCCGTATTACTCATTCTTAACTGCAAGATGATATTAGTCCTTTATTTCTCATTTTAAAACCAAGTCTAAAAAGTATTTCTATCTAAACACGTACCCTACACATTTTTGGAGCTAAATGACCTCTCTTTACTTTTCTAGTGGGAAAGTAGAAATATCACAGTAGAGTTGCACTCATGGTGAGCATCTGTAGTTAAGGATGCAAGAGCTAGGGAATGCAGAGGTTAAGTGGAAATTTCATTGGAAGTAAGGATACTTTGTTAAGGCATAAACTGGAAATTTGTTTTTATTGCTGTAGCATATTGGAAAAGAAAGACAAAAATCATTCATTTCCATAACACAAGAAGTTGTCTTACTTTGGGTCTTGATGGCTCAAAGGGATGTTAATGGCTTTTGTGTTAAACTTAAACATCTTTAGCTATCTGAAATATGAGGAAAAACCAACAACCTGTTCAATATTAAGACCATTTGTAACAGAAAGAGAAACTATAATGTTAAGCAGCACCCACATACAAAGAACTGAACTTTCCGTTTCACTAGGATAAATTCAAACACTTTGATTTTTCTAATTGTGTCATAACAGTGAAAGATACCTAAAATAACAGGCAAATTTTGCTGCCATCTTTGACGGTTGTGATTTGGGGGTACATATGTTGAATTTACAAAAGAAATTTATACTTTTCTCATACCTGAGCTTATGGAGCGATTTCATTTTGAAAGTATTTTTTTAAAGAAGTTGCTGGTTTTTGCAATTTATTTGCTATCTCTTGCTGGTAGAGATCATTATGCTATTTGTTTTGGGTGATGTTTCCTGTAGACTTGTGTGATGAGCATATAATCCAGTCTATGTGTGTGTGATCAAGTCTTACAATAATTTATGCCTGTGCTCTTGTTTTATTTAATAAAGATATTCCTTACAAAGTCCAAATTATGAAAAATATTCTAGTATATATATACTTGTATCAATATTCTTAGTGATGTTTCTAAATATTACTTTGTCTTCTAGTCCATCATACAGTGAGGACTGTGTGTGTTATGAACACTGGAGTCTGTGTTCTTTTTTTCCTGATGTAAAGCCCATTGTCTCACTGGATTTATTCTCTTTTACTGAATCAAAATTTATGGTATAGTCTGTCCTAATATATTGCATTCTTCTATCTTCTTGCTATTCTTGATCTTTGAGAAGGGTTAAATATGAGCTCAAACCAAACAAGTGGCCATTTCTTGGTCTGTACCTTCTAAACTCACACTGACATTACAGGGAAAAAAAATCAGGCAACAATATAACAAGTCCTCTAAAAATTGTGTAGAATCATATAATGAAAGGGCTCACTAAGTAGGGCATAAGTAAATATAAATTTGCAAAAACCTGCAATCAATTGTGAAGACTTTCTGTTATCCAGAGCTGGCTTGACTGCATTTTTTGCAAAATAAGATGTTGAAATTATTCTACATTGGTGCTCTGTAGGTTGATTTTCAATTATTGATTAACACTTAGTCTGTGTATATCTATTCTGTGTGCCTCTGTAAACTCAGAAACTCAAGTCTGTACTGTGGCTCTGGGGGAAGAAATGTCTTTAACTGAGCAAAAGATGTGAATTTCAGAGAACCCGTTGATTTTCTTGTGACCTGCCAGGCTCATATTTTTTTTCCAGATTTTTCTCAACCTGATGCAATTCTCAGTTTTGTTATGGGTATGAAGACCTGAAGCACAGATATTGCGTAGAAATATTTGTGAAAAGTATACATGAAGCTGGTTAAAACCCACATTTTTCATTTACAATTTAACTAAGAGCTACTCTGAGATTTACTCACAAGGTAAGTCTAATTCTCCAGACTGAGCTTTTGAATGTATCTATTCTCAACCACTCCAACTAAGGAACTGACTTCTCCTGATGCTAATAAAAGTAAAAGTTTACTGCTATCAAAATGTGACATTCTGAGAAATTGGCACTTAATATTTAAGAACATGAACGAAGCAGATCTTAAAAATCCATTTCAAGTGATACTTCTTTAGAGTTACTTATTTTAAATTTTTAAAATAGGCACCTTTAAAAATAACAATAAAAAATTAACCATTCAGAATAACAGTCAAGGCTTTGTTTCAGTCCCTCCTACCCCACCATGTTTTCTGTACCTCCATTAATTGGGATCATATTGTAGATATAGTTTAGTGTTTTGATTTTTCAGGAGCCATTTGCTGCTTTTGGACATTGGCTACTTTTGTATTTGGTCTCCATTCCCTTTTCGGGTTGTAGGGAACAGTCCTTCTGTCAGCAACTGGAATTCGGCTGGGGTTTTAATTGTCTGGTTTCCCTTTACTTCTCAAAGAAAGACGTGAGCATCAGGTCAGCCAATCAGAGGATTCCACGTGCCTAGATATATCCATGTGATAGAAAAAGGCCAATCGTAAAAGTTATTTTCCTTGGATAAAATGAGAGAGGATGGCACTGTGACCCTAAATATAAGCTATAAGGGTAACTAACGGATTTTCTCTGCCATTGCATGGAGGGCCGCTGCATGAGAATGAGTTAGTATAGAAAGCAGAGTAGAATAAAAGAAAAAAACGGGACTGTAATGAAGGATTTAATTTCTTCATCCTGCTGTGCCTTTTGGACTTCTGTTTTCTGTGAGTCAAATAGTTCCTCCTGTGTGTAAGTGAATTTCTTTGGTACTGCTGTCACTTGTAATGAGATGGTCCTACTACTAAAATATTAAAAGTATTGTGTATCTCTAAAGTTTAACTCATTAATATTTTGTAAATTCTGGAAAATAATCTATTTTAAGAATGTATAATTCTATGACTATAGAACACTATCTCAAATATTAGTTCTTATTGCAATAGTTATTATCAGTGTAGTGTTTTTGGCATTTCTATAAACATATCAGATTCAATTTAAACTTTCCCATAATTTTCAGAAATTTATATTTTCAAATTTCAAACATTTATCTCTATTACGTAAAATTTGCCGTTCACATTTGCATGCTTAGAATTCTAGTAATTAAAACTGGAGATGACAGTTTCAGATTTTAAAAGCTCTTTATTTTTTCATCAAATTTTTTCTTTTAATCAGAAAGGCATGATTGCCCACCTCATGCATTGCCAGGACTGTGCTTGTAAGGTATTCTAATCATTGCCAATTTGAAAGATACAATTTTAGTTGTTTCCTTTTGTGATTGAGTTTATATAATGTTGCGCGTGGGTCACCGGCTAGCAGTGACCACGGCACACTGTGGATGGCTCGACGATAAACACGCGAGAAAAAACATGCACAGAGACAAACTAGTTTCTGTGGAGAAGTAGGGACGAAATGGCCACCCCCTTCTAGTGAGGAGCGCGCCGATTTACAGTCCATACCTGCTTTTATTGGGCTCATGCTACATAATAACTCAGGTAACGTACAATACTCATTAGGGGAAGTAAGGAACATATAAAACAAAGAACTCTGCCGGTCTATTGAGTTGGGGGTCAAAGAGCTGTAAGGCTGAGGAACAAACTAGCTTCCTCCTAAGACCCTCCTCATTCAACTAAGAGCATTCTTGGACAAAGAAGGTTTCACAGTAATTTACATGTTCTTTCTTAGGCCTGATCACCCCAGGGAATCCGCACTTCCCAGTACCGAGCTGAACTTCCCCGTCATTGTTTCAGGCTTAGGTGGAGCGCGGGAACTAAGGCCACCGAGAGATAAGGAGATTTTCTTCCGGACGCTGAGAACTCAGACTTTGTCAGAGCCGAGGAGTGAGGGTCCATCACTCCCTTTTGCTGCAGCCCCCCCCCCAAGTCCTTCTTTTGGGGGGCCTCCCAAAAGTGATCGTGCCTGGCTTGGGTTGTTCCCCCGTGGGGAATCTTACCCGTCTTTGGCTAACCGACCAAGCTTTTTTGGGGTTCGGCAGCAGAAACAGCATTACTGCCAGGGAGATAAGCTTTTTTTCTCCTTGCCGGCTCACGGTTCCAAGGGCGTTCCCTTAGCTTTAGCCTAGGCGGGGGTCTCAGCTTCTAATACCAGTCAGGGCGGTTCCCAACAATATAATTATATGATCATTGTGCATTGATTCCTCATTTTAAGATCTGCTTAAAATCCTGCTTTTTCTTTTTAAAAGGCAATTTACTTCTAAAATATCACTTAATAGTTCCTCAGAAATACATACATGGCCCTGGCTGAAGTGGCTCAGTGGACTTGAGTACCTGCCTGCAAACCAAAGGGTCACTGGTTTGATTCCCAGTCAGGGCACATGCCTGGTTTGAGGGCCAGGTCCCCAGTTGGGGGTGTGCAAGAGGCAACCACACACTGATGTTTCTCTCCCTTTCTTTCTCCCTCCCTTCCTCTCTCTCTAAAAATAAATAAATAAAACCTTTTAAAAAAGAAAAGAAATACATATATATTCATCTACCTAAGGGGCTTATGATTTATCTCAAACATTTTTTTTCTTAATGGCAGTTAAACATAGCATACTAACTAGAAACTCAGGACCTGCATCTTAGGTGAGGCCTTGGGCAGACAACCTCCCTCAGACCCTTCCAGCCATGGGAAATCTAAGCCACTCTAACCCTTCCAATAAAGTTTAAAAGCAGAGAGAGAAAGAACTTGAACAGATATTTGTCCACTCATATTCAAAGCAGCATTATTCACAAAAGCCAAAAAGTGAAAGCAATTCATTTTAATCTTTTTCCAAAATCATTTACTGAAAATCCCCCCCCCCCATTTTGTGTTGTTTTCTTTATTATAAAGCACATTTTTTATGTACAGGGTGGGCAAAAGTAGGTTCACAGTTGTGAGTCCATGAAACAAAGTTTATTCTTGTATTATATATTCATTATTGTATTATTTTCCATAACAACAAATGTAAACCTACTTTGGCATACCCTGGTATACTAAGAAGGTGCTTTTCAAACTTCTCAAGGCTAAAAATTACCTTGTGAATTTGTTTCAAGTGCAAATTTCTGGGCCCATACAAAGAGACTTTGGTTAATGAGGTCTGAGAAAAAAACAAGGAGGCCAGGTGATTCTGCAGTGAGAGATTACCAAGCAAAAACCTAAGAAACATGGGATGAGCATGTTTCAACACTGTCTATTTTGTGTCCTCGCTCTTCCTGGTTTTCTCTCTTTCTCATTTACTTAATTAATCTCCATTCCTACACTCTGCCTCTGTGTTCTGTCTCAGCTAAACATTTTTTGAAAGATTTTGTTTATTTATTTTTAGAGAGAGGAGAAAGGAGGGAGAAAGTGAGGAAGAGGAATATCAATATCTGGTTGCCTCTCATGCACCCCTAACTGGGGACCTGGCCCACAACCCAGGCATGTGCCCTGACCAGGAATCAAACTGGCAACCCTTTGGTTCACAGCCCAGCACTCAGTCCACTGAACCACATCAGCCATGGTAAAAAAGGATTTTAAGAAGCATGAAACCACAAGTTGAATTCATAAAGGATTAAGAAGTTTGAAGATATACAAAGTGAACAGTTGTACTGGCCAGCCCTGGTACATGTCCCATTAGGTTACAATAGGGCCACAGGAGCCTGAGTCTGCTGTCCTGCTCTCTCCAACCCAAAATGTCACAGAGGCTCCAGGTTCCCCTTAATGGAAATGGGTACTGAGCTCCCTGGGCTATCATAATGGGATCGCTTTTCTGAAGAGATTCCCTGGAGGAGACTAATGAGAGAGTGAGGACAGGGGTGGGAGGAATATGGTAGCACCAAGAAGGCCCACTCTCACATCACCATTGTTTACCAATTTTTTTCTTTCCTGTCCCATCCTCAGGTCTCAGATCTCCTACCTTCAGTTTTTCTATTCTTTCCACTTTCTGATGTGTGCTCCCAACATCTACCTCTCTTTGACTCCACCATTCTCTGACCTTCTCTACTAACTTATACATAGACTTGGGTCTAACCTGGGATCAGAGGCTCTCCTTCTCCTTCTCCATCTCCATCTCCATCTCCATGTAGATTGGGGTCTCTGGGTTACCAGTACTCGAGAATCACTCAGATAGTCTTAAGGGAGGACTTCTCTTATATCAAGTGCACAGTGGAATAAGAAAATCCAGGGAACACCTTCTGCAACAGCACAGCCATGCTTGATGGAATGTGGGCCAGTTTATCATGGTGCTCTAGTGGCTCAAAAACAATTCTAGCACTGGCTATTTTGGTGGTCTCTCTGCTTCTGTTAGTCCCTTCACACAGAGTTACAAAGACACCCTAAAAAAGGATGTACAATCTAGCTCAGGAAGGGAAACTAGACTCATGGAGAATAGCAGCTAAAAACAGAGATGTGGAAATCAGACAGCCTTGTGACCTGATCTTGAATCAAGGTTCTGCCAGACCTAACACAAGACATTTAAGCAACCTCCCTTCATGAAGAGATGATAATTACATTAAAAAAACCAAAACCATTACTAAAAGTAATATCTTAATCATGAGGTTGTTTGGATGATGAAAGCTCATTATGCTCAGCATTACTGTTTGTTATTTTTATTTTAGGGTGACCCCAAGAATGTATTTATCTCAGCTGCTCACACATGTTCTTCTGTCTTCCTGCTTCAAGCTCCTGTGCTCTTAGGAAAGGTCAATATCCCCAGAGTCAGGCTCTCCCCAGCCCAGCCCAGCCCAGTCCTTGGAACATCTACTCTCTGAAGCGCTGACAACACAAGGACTGAAAGAGGTGAGGAGGCCACAGGCAGAGAGAGGTCTGGAGGCCTGCTCTTCAGTTTACCTGAGGCACCTGCCTTGCTCTAGGAAGAAAGCTTCCTTGGAGAATTGATGATTAACAGTCAGATTTGGAATAGGAGTAGAAAATGATTATGAGGACCAGGAGTCCTCTGTGAAAGATGACACTTTCCACTAAAAAGTAGACAATGATCTGATGTCTTAGCAATTGGGCACAATTCCTAAGAACTATTTACTTTTGCTCAGACTCTTTTAAGGAAAGTTTTTTTTAAAAAAATATGTTAACCATTATGCCCTGGCTGGCGTAGCTCAGTGGATTGAGCGTGGCCTGCAAACCAAAGTGTCGCAGGTTCAATTCCCAGTCAGGGTACATGCCTGGGTTACAGGCCATGACCCCCAGCAACCACACATTGATGTTTCTTTCTCTCTCTCTCTTTCTCCCTCCCTTCCCTCTCTGAAAATAAATAAATAAAATCTAAAAAAAAATGTTAACACTTAACCTAATCACCAGGAAGCATAATAATATGCTTCACCAATGTATACCAAATTAAATATTTTTATTTCTTTTTAAAGTAATATAACTTATTCCAGGAAATGTAAGTCATCTACCCAGATTAATACATTTATGTAGCAAAGACACTTGCTCATACATATTTAAAGTATGGGGGAACTATCAGTGCAGCCTACTGTGGGGTGAGTAGACATGGAGACACAGAGAGGGAAGTAATGCCTGAAATCTCTGATGATGAGGTTACCATACTTGCAAATAGGCACACAAGAATGGAGAAGGTATAGGCATGTAAAAACCTGATCATAGCAAAAACCATGAAGCCTACCTAGGAGACAAAAAAGGAAGAAAGAAACACAAGGTAAGGGATGCAGCCTAGTAGAAAAGTAATTCTGAGTGCTAAGAGGAGGCAGAGAAGGCTGCAAAATGGACTGAGCCATTTCAGGCAATGAGGTAGTGGTAAAAACAGACACACAAAGAGGCTCAGCATATGGTGTTCATTTGACCCTACTGCCACTGCTCAATCTTCTCCAAGAGCATCGAAGGTCAGAATAAGCAAGAGGAGAAAGTCTCAAGACGAAGAATTTTTCTCAGGAGAGCAGAATGTGAATGAGGGGAGGGTGAATCACTTATGGCTCTTCTCAGTGCAAGTTCTTAATTCCTAAAAAGAGAAGTGATGTTCCAGCTGGAGGGAGCCCTGAGGGAGCCCTGAGCCTTCTTTGGGCTTTTCTCCCTCTCCCCCCACTGCCTCGATCTCTTTTCTCCTACCTTCCACCCCATGTCTCTCTATGTCTCTCCCCCTTTTCTTCTCTTCCATCTTACTTTTATCTCCCTTTCTCCCTTTCTCTTCCAAAAACTTCATTTTCCCTCTCTTATCCACAGTCTCAGTAAGGTCAGTTTAGGCTGAACATAGTCAGGTCAGTCTTTTAGTTAATTACTAGAGGTACTTAGATTCTGAGTTAGTTGTCAATGTTTTAAATTTACTTTTAGAGAGGGGCAGGGAGGGAGAGAAGCATCACGTCTCTCATGTACCCCCACCTGGGGACCTAGCCCACAACCCAGGCATGTGCCCTGACTAGGAACCATACCCACAACCCTTGAGACCCCTTCAACCATTTGGTTCTCAAGCCAGCACTCAATTCACTGAACCACATCAGCCAGGGCTGAGTTGTCAATTTTAAAATGGTCCAAAGTCTTAGAGCTCACAAAAGCTATAGGTGGTGGAAATGGGACCTGCACAAGAATAGAAGGGGTACCGTAACACATCATAACATAACAGCAGAACATATCTCCCTATCTCTTGTATTCTCCACAGGAAAATATGAAAACTCTACTCACCATGCAGTCCCTGCCTCTGCTCCTCCTGCTGCTGCAGCCACTTCCACTGCAGGTTCTAATGCAACGAAGATTTCCTAGTATGCCAGATGATGTTCGGACAGAAGAATTTGAAGAGTTTGTTGATGAGTTATATAGCACAGGGCCTACCAAACCACCTACCAAAAAAATTTTCCAAAACCATTTCATAATTCCTACTGTATTGCCATTTTATAATGAATATCACTGTAATTGGGATTTGAAGATCAGACATGTTCATGACAGGTTTTCCTGCAGGAAAGAACATTTTTTCCTCCTAGTATCATATGAGGAGTTACAAAAGACCTGTAGCAGCAAGTTTGTGGCATGTAGGAATGGAGTTAGGAGATGTCACAAGACCGAGAGAATAATAGAAGGAGTGTACTGTAAGTTGACACGTGGAATTAGGATGCCAGAATGTACTTATGAAGGTTTTCCCAAGAAGGGATATGCCCTTATCACTTGCCGATGGCAAGATGATATTGGAGAAATTATTCCTGAGCATGTAAATGATATTTTGGAAATACCTGGCAAGCACTAAAATGTCAGTCATTAGGAAGATATCTTCCTCCCACCATTCTAGAGAAGCATTCTTTATAAAATGGGAGGATATGCCCTTCTCCATGCTGATTCTTATAGGTCAAAGTTGAGAATGGTAATTTTGATCCATTCATTGTAATCACCCACCTCCCTCTCTCCTTCCCCTAACACCACAGGCAGGCAACGTAAGCTCGGTTCAAAGACAGTACTCGGAGATGTGACTTCAAATAGGTCATGTAACTGAGCACATTGTGAGTGTATTATGAGGATGAATGCCTGTGGTGGAAGGATGGCCACCACCAAGAGGAACAGAAAATGGTTGCCTGAAGTGTGCTCCCAAGTTGTGTTCATGTGAATCTCTAGTTTAGGAAAAATAATAAAGTGCATTGACTTAGTGAAGTGTCTCTGGTGTGGTCGCTTACCAGTGTCACTGGTATGAGGTTTCTTAGTTTAGAATTCCCTTTCTCTGTGAAACGATTTGTAACAAAAAGATCTCAGAGCCCCTTGAGAAATTGTGTACTATAATTCATCTATCTAGTGCTGTATTTGTAGGTATTTTGCTTGCTCTGTTCTTTCCATACAGTACAATAGTCACAGGAAAGTGAAGGTATAGGTTCTAATAGGAGATACCTCAGGATAAAAACCTAAATACTCAGGATAGCAAACATCTCAAGGGATTTTTCAACTATTTGATGCTTCTTTTGTGGATTCCCATACCTTTGATTTAGTTTATTCGTAAAACTACAAATAATTCATCATTCTTGACAGTCACATTTATTCACAATTCCTTTCCCCACTTCCCTTAGGTGTGGCCTTATCTAAGAACATTCCACTTTCAAAAAGGCTCAGTGTAACTGAAGACTCAGTATGATAAAAGAAACCCATCAGTCCAGTTTAGGTAATAATTTATCTGTTTTTGTCTGTGAAACTTCTTAATATTTTTAATAATTATTCCCTCTAACTAACATATGGAAAACTGGATAAGGAGCACTGATAGGAAAGGGTGGGGAGGGTGTCTAGTATTTGTCCTGCACATTTCTCTGCAATCCAATCTGCTCATCTTTTTACTGTTCCCTATCCTTGTCTTCAGACTCAGAGCTAAGGTCCTAATTCATAAATCAGTTGATGTCAATAGGGGCCTAGGGTTCATTCATTTATTCACTAAGTATTGAATGTCCATGCATGACAGTCACTTTGCCAGCTCTTGGGCCCACAGAGTGAAATGTGAGTATCTTGTTATAGGTTCCTAAAAAGTTGTTCCTAAAACTAGAATTCAAACAGATTCAAGTGCACATGGTTAACTGGTGAGACCATGTTTGAAAAGATTCTAGTTACGTGAGGAGAATCTCTGAAGAAGAAGGGTCTGCATGATAAAAAGGAAAATGAAAACTGGGGCAGAGAAGCAAGAACGTATTTCACTTCCATCTACCTCCCCATCCCACATTCCTCATACACATACCACTCACCTGGCCTTTTTGACCAGTGTTTGAACTCTGTGCAGAGAAAAGCTTCAGGTAGAACATGTTAGAGTTATTATGGTGAAAGACTGAGGAACAAACAATACTGTTCTGGCACTGGGGGATGAAGAGTACCATGGAGTGATAGAGGTATAATCTCTCCCTATCCCAAAGGAAAATCACACGGCTTGGTTTTGATGCTGTTGGAAGAAAGCACATCTTGGCATAAAGGCCAAATGTCATGAAGGCACTGGCAGCCATGACATTGAACAAGACCTCACAAGTGTCTCCAAGGGTATAGGAGACCATCAAGAAGGAGTGGAGCATAAGAACAAAAGACACTACCTGGGACCTTACCCTGGAGAATCCTAGATATGACAGATATGACATGGATGAGATTTTTATGTTTAATTCTCACTCGAGGATATTTTTCATTGCTTTTTAGAAAGAGAGGAAGGGAGAGAGAGAAGCATCGACTGGCTGCTTCCCATAGGGGCCCCTACTGTGGATTGTAGATTGTAGATCATAGATTGTGGGCACCTGGACCTGAGATCTCACATGCCCAGTAGGCACCAGGAGCCAGACAGGGTGGGGTTGGGGGATGGGGATCATATGCACTGGGAGGGAGAAGGAACCTGCACCTGGGTATATTCTCTGACCGGGAATCAACGAGCAGCCTCTTGTTCTGGGATGATGCTCCAACCAACTGAGTCACTCTGGCTAGGGTGACATGGGTGAGATTTTAAAGCATAGAGGATTATAAGTGCAGACACAACCCATTTTCCCTCAATAAACTAATCTTTTTTCATCTGAGGGTTGTAATAGAAACCTGAAATTTTATCTGAGCACATAGATACCCAAAGTGAAAGAGATATTTCCCAGGGTTGGGGTTTTTTTTCCAATTAAAATTGACCATGTGACTAATTTCTAGACAATGGAACGTCTATAGAAAATAAGTGAAATGAGCATCTATCTTGGATCCAGACATGGAAGCCATGTGCTAAGTTTGGCAGAGCAACAAAATAGAAAGAGCCTGTATATAACCCTGTGAGCACCATACCAGGTGTGAACTGACTGTCCCTGGACTTTAGAAAAAGAAATGGACTTTAGACAGAAAAACAAGTACCTGTCTTGTTTTAGCCACTGCTATTAGAAGTTTCTGTCACTGTTAAACCAATTCTAATTAATATGTACAGGAACTGGGAAGAGGGAGCAAACTCATATGAGGCGTAGTTTGTTACTATTAAAACAAGCCTACCAGTAGCCCCTGAGGAGGTTTAGGTTGGTCAAGCAAAGGCCTGATGTAAATTTTAGGAATTATATGTAATGATACAAGTAGAAAAACAGAAGCACAACAGCTGATATTGTCAGGCCAATGGTTAGCCTCTTTTTCTAACTATTATCCTACCCCCCACTTTTTACCTCAAATATTCCAGCAAAGGAGAATAGCAAAAGAAAATTCAAATACCAGGATTAGTAGAAACAACTCTTAGTTGAGAATTACAATTTGAAACGCATCACTGACCTATTGACAAGCCTGGAGGACCACAGAAATGTTTGTGCTTCATTAGCCCTGGGTGATTCTTCCTAATCTTGAGACTACTACAGACAGAGGTGAGACTGTTTGGTCAATCTTTTGGTTTTCTAAGCCCCAAGCCAAGACCCAAACTGAGATTCCCGTGCTCTGCATCCTTCTATCCACCTTGTGATTTATTAGCAGAGGTCACAAAAATAACTTTGTAAGATACCCAAAGCACAGTCAGGCACCTAGTGAGTTAATGAATTTAATAATATAATTTGCAAGTTAAACTTAAAAACCAAAGGAAGCACTGTGGGTTTTAGTTCTTTTTTTATTTTAACCAAAATAATTCCCATTGTTAAAACCAAAGTAAACTTCTCAGTAGGTATTCTGGAAAAACTGTTTTGAATGCACCAAATAACTTGAATCAACCCTCATAACTTTTGTTCCTCAATAGCCTGATGCCACCTTCTGGCTGAGAGCTAAGACAAGTAGAATGAAAACCTTACTGCGAGACCCTTGGAGCATGATCCTGCTTGGGCATGATCAAAAGACAGAGTTGATGGGTTGAAAAAAATAATGTAGGCTATAAGGAACATTCTGATATGAGTGCTATACATGCACACTGACCTCATTATTCAGGATACATCTATCAGAGGTCAACTGTGTTCCCCGAATGGAAACAGGTACTGATTTCCTTCTTATTTCAAACAGTAATGATAAAACCCACTAAACTTACATGTCCAGACCTGTAAAATAAGGTTACACTTACAAAATTAAAAAACAAATTTTAATCCTGACTGATATGGCTCAGTGGGTTGAGCATCATCCTGCAAACCCAAAGGTCACCAGTCTGATTCTTGGTCAGGGCACATGCCTAGGTTACGGACCAGGTTGGGGGCATGCGAGAGGCAACTGATTGATGTTTTTGTCCCTGTTTCTTCCTTCCTTCCTCTCTCTTGAAAAATAACCATAAACAAAAATTTAAAGACTTCAAATGCCCTTGTCCCCAATAAGGAATGTAATCTCCCTTTAATGTCCTTGGGTAACTTCTGAATCTACTCGGAGTGCTGACTTTGTGCAGTCTCACAGATACTTCAGGTCCTTCCCATTGCTCTGTCTGTTCAGGGGTCATGTCCACTGACTGTCCTGTCAGCGGACATCACTGGCCTGTCTCCACACTGCTGATGCTGCTTCCCCTTTATTTTTAGATCCTAAGAAGCGCTGATCAGAGCTGCTAGATAGAAACTTTTTTTAAACATTGTTTTTAAAGAGAGAGGGGAAAGGAGGGAGAACGTGAGGGAGAGAAACCTCAGTGTGTGGTTGCCTCTTGGAGGCTCCCAACTGGGGACCTGGCTCACAACCCAGGCATGTGCCCCTGACTGGGAATCAAACTGGTGACCCTTTGGTTCATAGTAGGGTCCCTCAGTCCACTGAGCCATTCCAGCCAGGGTTAGAAATGTCTTTAAAATTAAATTTTAAGAACATTGGAATTAAAATTTTAAAAGTAATAAAATATGCAGAAGTTAACATCCTTGTATAAGCCTTTTTGTTTGCCTTTGAGAATACTTCCAAAGGACAGAATCCTACCCATAAACTTCATGGATTACATGAGTATTTGATTTGTGATTGCCACTGAGATTTATGTTTTGTGTACTTTTCTATAACTGTGCTATAGTTCAATTTAAGAAGATTTTATGTACTTTAGGGTTTTCTTTTTAGGGGTGGGGTGAAAAGAAGGAGAGAGGGTGAGAATCATTGATGTGAGAGAGAAGCATCAGTTGGTTGCCTTTCTCATGTGCCCCAACTGGGAGGAACCTGCAGCCCAGGCATGTGCCCAGAATCAAACCAGCGACCTTTTGCTTTGTGGGACAAAGCCCAACCAACTGAGCCACATTGGTCAGGGCTATATTTTAATTTTAATATGTTTAGGTTCTTTTCTGGATCAAAGCAAAATTACATTTAAAAACTCAAGGTACATTGACAAATTTTGTCCTCCAAAGCTATACACACTCTCACAAAGAG